ATACATTTTAGGTTGGTGGTATAGTTTACTGTATACATTTTAGGTTGGTGGTATAGTTTACTGTATACATTTTAGGTTGATGGTATAGTTTACTGTGTACATTTTAGGTTGGTGGTATAGTTTACTGTGTACATTTTAGGTTGGTGGTATAGTTTACTGGGTAGGGACTGGCTTGTTTGCAAGAACTGTAAACTTGGTTGTAAGCATAGCTTTATACTAGGTCTAGACAAGGGCAAGGATAAATTAATTGAAGAAAAAATAAGGTGTAGAGAAGTCTTTTCACACAACACCAAAGTTTTTTACTCACCTGACCTGTGATGCTATAACAAAGTTAGTTTATTGATAATTTGTTGGCTAGTCATGTTCTATATCTTATGAAGTGTTTGCCAATTTGGCCAGTAGTAATGAATTGGGGAAAATATGGTATACACCATTTTTTATAGTTATATGGCTTTATTTTGTTAAATAATAAAAGTAAATTATCAAATCTTTATTTGGAAAACTGAATATTAAAAAGCATATTTACCCTTAAAGCTGCTGCTGTATTAAGCCTATTTATAAAGCATCATATTTACCCTTAAAGCTGCTGCTGTATTAAGCCTATTTATAAAGCATCATATTTACCCTCAAAGTTACTATATTAGGCCTGTTTAAAAGCATCATATTTACCCTAAAAGTTGCTATATTAGGCCTGTTTAAAAGCATCATATTTACCCTAAAAGTTGCTGCTGTATTAAGCCTATTTATAAAGCATCATATTTACCCTTAAAGCTGCTGCTGTATTAAGCCTATTTATAAAGCATCATATTTACCCTTAAAGCTGCTGCTGTATTAAGCCTATTTATAAAGCATCATATTTACCCTCAAAGTTACTATATTAGGCCTGTTTAAAAGCATCATATTTACCCTAAAAGTTGCTATATTAGGCTTATATATTTTAAAAATTGTAAGTAATATATTACTAGTGTTTTTGCTTGCAGATATGAAATACGCTTTATTTCTTAACACATTAGACAGTACAAAGTGCAACTTCGGGAAGCTGTGATAGTTAAGCCTAACAGCTGCAGTTCAAACCTTAGAATCACTAATGAAGTCTGTGTCGACCCCCATCATCTTTTTTAAACACAGTTTTCTACACTGTAGATACTAAATTACACGTGAGTGTATGAGTGTTGATTACAGGATCTCTAATAACATAAATCACATACAGAAATTCTGTCAATATTGTGTACTGCTGAGGTTACCTGTTTATTTCACATAAGAAAAGACATGGTGATTTCATGTAACTTGGTTGGTCAATTCTTCACACGGAGTGTTGTAACAGGCAAAACACAGAATTATATAATATGATGCAAAGTGAATGCTATACAAACAAGTTAGTCATTCAAGGATTAAGTTACATTTTGAATCAACCAGCCAATTACCACTCATACTTTGAATCAACCAATTATGTACCAGTCACATTTTGAATCAACCAATTATGTACCAGTCACATTTTGAATCAACCAATTATGTATCAGTCACATTTTGAATCAACCAATCAATGATTTGTCATACATTTTAATCAATGAATCAATTACCACTCATGAATTGGGTAAATTAATCAAATACTTGTCATATTCTGGATCAACCAATAAAATATACGTGTTTATGCGCATATATCTAACTGATTTATTTATACAATTTCAATTTTTTTTTTACTTTGCAACATAGACTTGTTGCATGTAGATTAGCAGTAGATGGGTTTCGTCCTACAGGAATAAATTAATTCTGTTTAAAGGAAACAGAAAAGTTAGATACAAATGTGAAACAAATTAACAACTTCAACTTTCTGTGTATGGTTATATATTTATATGAAAATTGTTTTGGGGGGTGCTACATTAAATCACTTGGGGGCTACTTGAGGAAACCATATTTTATGTGCTAGTGACTGTTGTTGTTGAAATATTCTTAAGTTCTGTTCATGATATACATCCTCATTTATGTTACTTCAGTGTTTAATTTATTTTCACGTAGGGTCTCGGTTAAGGATGTCCAAGGATAAGAAAACACTACCTGAAAAGTTCAAAGATTTTTTTGGATTTTCTAAGCAAACTGCAGCAGCCCAGGTGACTTATGAGAAACCAAAGCCTGAAGACTACATAGTAACATGTGAAAATATTAAGGTATGTTTATTTATTTATTTACCCGTGAATTTATTTTCCTCACCAAAATATGAATTTCGATGAAGAAAAGATAACACAGAGGCCTAATCTATTCTTTGACTCGATACTTCCACTGCCATAGACTAGTTTTACTGAATTCATGGCTCATCAATGCTGGTCGGAAGAATTAAACAAGTAATTAAAGTAGGCCTAATATATTGGTCGAATGTAAGAAATTTGTTTGGTTTTGACTTGTATTCCTTTACTCACTACTAATAACATAAAATACTTTGTGTTGCTCTAACATGACGTACCATCACAATTAATTATCCATTACTAATCGGTGGGATACACGAATTTCAGTAAAGGTAATATAAGGGCATAATATATTTTATTTGCTACTCCCCCTGAAACAGACTAGTTTCCCCAAATTAAAGGGCTATCGGTTCTGCTTAAAAGAGGCAAGCAAATAAATAAAATAGGTTTCGTATAGTAGTGGTATGTTTGTGTGGATATTCATGCTAGAAATTTGTCATACATGATGTTTTATCTGGCTCAACTATCTTTTATTATGGGATAGCTTAGTTAGGGGGTTGTTTAACTATTTCAGCACTGGTTCGGTCCCTGGGACTGACCTCGTAACCATTTTTTGTGCTTGTTATATTTTTCATGCTATAACTTTTAAATTAGTAAGCTAATGTTAGCAACATTTGACAGACTATCGGTAAACATTACAAAGCTTTCGTATGCAAAATATTATTTTTTTATTGAGTTGGAAGGTTTGTAAAGCAATGTTTTTCTCATGCCTTTTTTTTTCTTTTCACATCTTGCCTATCTATCATGCAAAGTAAT